TTAAATAAAAATGTCCGCCGCTTTTTTCCGGCTTTTAGAAAAGCCGGAAGAGAACGTCTACACTGGCCCCGATCCTCCAGAAAAAAGCCCTTTTCCGGAGGATCTCTTATTCCTACTTCAAAGTAGGAAAAGGGGACAGTGTAGACGAGCCCTGAGAGATTAGGAAACTCTGGACAGAGAGAACTTTCTACCATTGGGATTGGCTGTTTGTGGGGAATGGGGAGTGAGATGGTTGGCACAGACTCTTCATCTGCCCCTGTCACCACTGTTTCCCAGCCCTGTTCCTCTCAACCTCCTTCCCCTCACAAGTAACCCCCCTCTCAAAAAACTAACATGCCACTGCTGCCGTCACACAGCGCACGCTAAGTCTAGTCTATACTGCAAGGCTTTTCCCTATGTTGCGCTCACATTTACATTTCCTCTTTGGATCTCTTTTGCACAAGAGGTGTTTGTGCAAACAGCTGTGTAGATGGCTCCTTTTTGCGCAAAACCTCCCTCTTGTGTAAGAACCGTTTTTCCAAGCCAGCTACACAGCTCTTTTTTGCGCAAAAACCTCTTGCGCAAAAGGGATCCGAAGAGGAAATGCAAACGGAGCGTGACATATGCAAATGAGCACTCCATTTGCATTTCCTCTTGTGGGAAAGCCTTGCAGTATAGCCGTAGCATTGGTGTGTTCTCCCTGGGTCTGCCTTGTCTATTTAAACAGCAAGCTTCCCCAGGGTGGGGACTGTAATATGCTGTTTGTACAGCACCTAGCACAACAGGGCTAGCTTCTAGGCATTACTGTAATAAATATCAGGGGGTAGCTGAGTTAGTCTGTACAGGATAAACTTTAGAAACAACAAATGGTCCGGTAGCACTTTATAAACAAAACATCTACATGTTTGGTAGTCTATACAGTGCTACCAGACCATTTATTGTAATCAATATGTTAAATAAAAGAAAGTTTACTTTGGGCCACAAGATGGAGCCATTTTACAGTTACTTACAGAACTCAAGCTCCAGACTAAATATGGCAATGTCCACAATGACCACCAGATGGCACATTTGACCGCTCCAAAATAGAAAATAGTTTAATATTAATAAAGTGATTTCTCCTTACAACACTATTTCCTTCTTCATTTCCTTCCTTTTTTGTGCTCCTAAGTTTGCCTCTTCATGCTCCATTCACCATGGCGGTTAAAAGCATTTGCGGAAAAGAACGTCTAGATTGGCACGGACGCTTTTCCGCAAAAACACTTTTTGCGGAAAAACGTCTGTGCCAATCTAGACGTGCTTTTCAGCAAGAAAGCCCCGATCGCCATTTTCGCAATCAGGACTTTTTCGCGCAAAACAAATCTGAGCTGTCTACACTGGCCCTTTTGCGCAAAAGCTTTGCGCAAAAGGACTTTTGTCCGAATGGGAGCAGCATAGTATTTCCGCAAGAAGCACTGATTTCAGACAGTAGGAAGTCAGTGTTCTTGTGGAAATTCAAGCGGCCAGTGTAGATAGCTGGCAAGTTTTTCTGCAAAAGCAGCTGGTTTTGCAGAAAGACTTGCCAGTCTAGACACAGCCTTCGAGGTTACAGCTCAGGTTGATTCTAGCACTAAGATAATTAAAATGCCTTGAGAAGAGAAGGGAATGGGTCATGTGTGCTAAGCTGACCAATGTGAAAAGTATTGAATATTGAACCTGGTAACAATATCTCATAGACACATGCCTTAAAACTTACCTACACATAAGCACTGTGCCCATTTAACCACTCCAATTTAGTTAAAGCAGTTCCACCTGCCTGACATAGACACCATTATGCAGGTATTAAAATGTTTTATCCTGGTATTGCTTTTTCTGTACAGGAAAATGAATTACCCACATTGCTATAAGCCAAGGCATTTCTATACTCATATAACTGTATCCACACAAGAGATTGCAGCAGGATAACTATACTGGTGAAAAATCACCCCCTAATTGATCTAGTTATACCGATACAAAAAAATCTATTGACCAGGACACTAATAAAAATAAAGGGAAACTCTCTGGCTATGTTTAGCTGGCTCTCTATGTTACTGAGTCGGAAACAGTACATATCAGCATTTAGCTATCACTATATGGGACTAGGTGTTTGAGTGAGAATAGAAACAAAATGGAAAGAACAGGAAAACCAGGTAAAAATTATGCTATCCATCATGGCAGCAGGGACAGCCAGCTTTCCTACAGATACAGGTCATTTTAACTAATACTTAATTATAGTGGGAGTATAGTTAAATAATAATTAAAATGAGCCACAAATTATTGGGATTAAGGCTCTTGGTTTCGGAATGACACCTAAAGAAGCTGTGAGAAGATTTTAGATTTTCTTTTTCTGTTAGAATGGTAGGTCTTGATGATCCTGTTTTCAATGGAAAGCTCTACTGGTGACTGGCCTACGAGTAGGTTTAGCGGATTACAGTGCAGTCCCTACCCAAAACAATATAAACCATGGCTATTTCACCTTCCTTTCTAATAAAGCTAAATTATAAATTAGCAAAAAAAAAAAAAGTCTCCATTATTGCCTGCCACTATGCTGGATGTCTCTGCCAGGTCTCAGAGCAGACGTTTCTTCCCATTTGTAGACAAGGAACATACATCCCTACTGTACAGTAATACTCAATTGCCAAATACTCCCAGCCCCCCCAACCAACAGACTACAGGAAGGAATAAAAATGCCCTAACTCAGCTCAGGGAGAGCTCCTAGGACAAGAGAGTCTGAAGTGCCAGCAGAATCAGGATAATCCCCAGATCTATGGCTTCTCCATGTTGAACAGGAACAGCCCCATCTCTCTGTGTCTACCCAAAACCAGCGCTAGGATGAAGAGCAGCTTGTGGATCAGAGCCCAGGCCAGACAAGGGCAATGCTGGTGGGCAAGAGGAAGAGCTTTGGGGAACTTTTTTCCTCTGTAACATCCCTCACTGTGGAGGACACCAGCTCTCAGGTTGGTAGTTCAGTCTGTGTTCTTGGGCTCTTTTCAGACTCCTCTGTGCTAGCGAGTGCCCAACAGTGAGGGGTGCAAAACAGGCCCACTTCCTGCTGCGAATGGCCAGAACAAGTCTTGTCCCCTCAAAGCCCTGTCTAGAGCGACATTCACATTGGGACACGCAGGCTTCATTGCCACACCTGGGTATTTAGATCCAGACATGAAGCCACTGTCCTGAAATGCCTCCTCTAGCATCTTCCCCCAAGAGTCTCTGCTCTAAGCCCCTGGAAACCACCATCCAGCACCACTCAAAGCCCTCTATAGTCTATGACCTACCGCCCTTCATGAAAGGTCTGCTGTGCCCCATGCCCATGTTAACACCCCAGAAGGGATCCCAAGCAACCATGTACCCCCACCATGGATGAACTCCCCGCAGCTCCTGGAAACTCTCGCTCTGCCCCCCAAACACCTTCACTACCACTCCAGTTCACAGCACCCCTGCCCCCAAACACTCCCCACTGCACCTCCTGGCCACGAAATGCCCCCTCCTCAGGAGCCCCAATGGTCCCTCCAGCCCCCAGCTACACCCTCTACCCCAACACCCC